TTACCACTACCACTGCCACCACAAGTGCTGCCAACTGAGACTTTCTGGGCCAGCAAGCCCGAAACCACTAATACCTGAAAGCCCACGAAGCAAGAACTTCTATAGGGTTTAGGGTTTAGGGTTTAGGGTTTAGGGTGACCTAACACCCGAAAACCACCCCAAAAAAAAACCTTTGAAAGCTCTAGAGAGATGATGCCCGGCTGGTACAACAGATCCAGGAAACGCTGTGGTACCGGGGCCATATTTTGGGGGCTTAGGATTGGGGGTTCAGGATGTATGGGCAGAGTACAGCTTCAGGCAGTCTTGACATCATAGAACGGCTCTTTTACATCCAAAATCCACCCGCCCTGGAAAAGCTCTTCGAAACTTGCAAGGGAAAGCTTGTCCACTCACCCAGCCGTGCCTTCCAGCTACGCGGTAGCCCGTCAATGCAGAGGCTCGGACCTGCAGACAGCTGCGGCCTGGCAGCCTGTGTGGCCTGCATGGACCAGGCCCAGTACGACGTTGGCAGTGGCTGTGATAGGATCATCAGGGTCGTAACGGGACATGTGTGCGTACTAGAAGTAGGAGCAGCATAGACGATGTAGTCATGTAGGTGTTCAAAAGCCATGCTTTACGGTAATTAGCCGGAACCTCTGCACTTACGATAAACTGGGGCCGTCGAGGCCATCATCATCATCACCACCACCACCACCCCCACCACCACCACCACCACCACCACCACCACCACCACCACCACCACCATCACCATCATCATGATCATCATCGTCTCAAAACATTGTTTGCTTCTGAATTACTCGTGCTTTTCGATCCTTCAGGTTCCGGCCAGCGTGGGCGACCCGCAGGCGTGCCTTGGCTGCACGTCAAAAGCATTGCAAAAGCTCGTCGCCCTCATAGGCCGCACAAAGAGCCTTCCGTTTCTTCGTTGACCCAGACTTGCTTGGATTTTAATTGCTTCCTGAATAGACACAGAACCTGGCGGACGCTGCTTTTTTGAAGATGCCTTCGTGAGTTTTGACTACGCGGAGTCTGCAGCAGACAAACTATCAAGCAGCAGCATGGAGTTGATCTGAGGTGCATATCTCAGGCACCTGGCTTCGTTGAGAGGGTCCGCATTCCAGGGCTCTGGCTTCTACACCTCTCGGGCTCAAGCTTGTTCCGAAGAGTTCCACGTGCTCTTAGGCCCTGAGTCGTAAGATTCATGAGACAGCGGTGTCAAGAGCCTTCGCCATCACGTGTGCACTCATTGGCAGGTGGAGCTGTTCGGATGTTCTTCGGCACCGGTCGACAACGACGAGCAGAGCTCCACCGGTCAGGTGGGGTGTTGTGCCGAGTTGGTGTTGTTGCTCTCTGTCGCTGTCTGTACCCCTTAGCGCAGGTACTGGGCTTTTCTTACGCGACCACCGTCAACAATGCCGAGCCGCAGATGGCAATCCGGATGGTGACGCACAGCTGGGGCAATAAGTTCACCTACTTGCTGAGTGCCATCTTCTCAGATGCTTTGGAGACCGAAACCTACGATGGCGTGGCAGATCTCCTCAGGTGACAACGGGTGGGGGTTGGGGCGAAAGCGGAGCAACGTAGGCTTGAAACGGGCGTGAATGGGACTTCTATGCTTCAGCTTAGGCACGGCAAACTGGATCACCTCGCGCAGAAACTCCGGAATGCGGGGAAGCTCGATGTTCCCTACTGGGTGTGTGCCTTCTCCGTGAACCAGCACGCCGGAATTTGCGCCACACCTCCGCCCACAGACAGTACAGGATATCCCATCATTCCCTGTCGGTGTTCTAGGGCCAAGCACTTTTCTGGAGATCTCAGCGAGATGAACAAGTTCGACGACATGATGGCTTACTTGAAAGGGTACCTGCGTGCGAAGTCCATCCAGGAACTCAGCCACATTCGGCTGCAACAGGTGGGCACAGCTGCAAAAACACTACCTACCAAGACCGATTATGACACTACGAGCAGTACTAGCAGCTAGCAGCTAGCTGACAAGCAAAGCGGGGCTTATCAGCTTTGTAATTCATTTAACAACTGTCCCCTAACTTTCGTTGAGTTTGGTGATACACATGAGCGAACTCCGATCTCGATTGAGTTCCAGGTGGTGGCAATGGAGGTCAACTTCTCTTTGCTTACACGTGTTGCCGGGCCTTGATCTTGAAACTGTTTTTCGCAATACTCCGGCATAGCGCCGCCAAGCAAAATCCCTGTGAGCGGCTTCCCAGCTCCGCACAGGTTTGGTGCGTTGCCGAGCTGGTGGAAGCAGACAACCTTCATCTCACGCAAACGATGCTCGGGTCTTGCTGAGCAACGCTTTCGGCCTTTTTTCCTCGAGGCAGTCCTGTGACCGCATGTCGCGGTATCAAGGATCAAGCTTCACTCGGGTGCATCCCAGCGGAGCTGCCTGGACAAGATCATGGACCTGGATGTGGCGGAGGCCCAGGCCTCCTTCCCGGCAGACAAAGAGCTAGTCCTCAGCAAGATGCTGGGCAGCATGTGGAGCCACACATCTATGTTTAGGGGACTGTGAGACGCACCCGCCGAGGATTGAGGACATCCCCGCCTTCAACAACAGGCTGCAAAACCTTTTGCTTCACCGCTTGGAGGGTTTCCTGGGCAGCAGGGCTGTGGGCGCTGCGAATTGCTTGGATGACGTGATCCTCGCAGTCCTGCAGGTGATGATGTGACTTCGCACCTATGTCTATGTGCAAGCACCATCCCAGGAATGATTCTTTCCCAAGGAAGAAATACCACTTCCAAAAACTCCGTACCTTCAGGTGCATTGCGCTCCTGCCTGTTTCGCCGGTTTTCGAACAGGCAGCGCAGTATCGATCCGCATCGTCGGCTGGCGATGCCCCCCCCTCACTGTAAAAATCTGCGTCCTGTCATGTCAGATGCGCTCCCGAGTTTCTCGAGACCTGTTACTGCCGCAAGGCAGATGAATCTGGGAAGAACCGCAGCAGACAAAAGCAGGCAGAGTAACCGACTTTCCAGAATGTTGATACTACCAACACACGAATGAGAACGATGCTGGCATTTCTTCTCATACTCATGTGAAGAGTACGATTGTGATTACGGTGTGCTCAGTCTCATGATAGACTCATGTGACTTTGCAGAGTGGCGTCGATCGTCGTCAGCACCATGAGCACAAGTACTGCCTCACGGTCAGGATCATGTCCTTGTCCTTGAGGTCACTCGTTGTGTCGACGAGAGCACGATGTCCATCAGCTTCGGGGAGCAAGGCGATGCAGGGGCCTCCCATCACAGAGCTCTGCAGTAAGGCTTCTAGAAAATGGGTGCGGAAACCGGAGTCGAGAGTTCAAAGCAAACTTGGAGGCCGAGCGGCAACGGGCGCTTTCTGAGGGCCAAAGGCAGGACGTCTGCCGAGTGCAGTCTGTTGGTCATCGTGTTTCCGCGTGCCGTCGTGGCTGGAGCTCCGGCCGATCAGATGTCTCATCAGGTGTATGTGGATGTTACACGCGCGCACACACACACACGCAAACACAGAAACACGAGATGTATGTTCATGCATCGAGTTCCGCAGGCTAAGGTGTGCATGATTTCGGAGCTGAGCCATATGGGTGGTTCTCTAAATTAGGGTCCCTTTTTAGGTCCCCAATATAGTACGGCACCCTTATAAAAAGGACCCTAAAAGGGACCCTAATTTTGAGAACTACCCATATACCGGTCCGTTGATTTTCAGCAGCCGGCAGCCAGAGCCGAAGTGGCGATGTTTCTTTTCCCCACAACCGCCCATCCTTGGACACCGTCTCCTGGACCCATCCGTGTCCTTGGATAGTACATGGGAGTTTCAGAAAATTAGGGTACCTTATTTTGGGGTCCTTATAATAGGGATCGTATTAATTAGGGTACTATATTAGGGTCCCCTAATTTCCGGAAACCCCCACATGATAGTACCTTCGTTTTTCTCTTTAACCGTACTTGGGGCTGCATGTCTAACGTGCGTCTCTATGCGGGAACGTTTAGGTCATCTGATCCCCATCAGCCTCCTTAACAAGATACCGAGACCCTTGACCCTGAGCTCGGAGAGAAAAGAGGGGAAGTCGAGGCAGCTAGCTGCACGTCATTGCAGGTCCGTATGGGCCGTTCTGAAACGTATAGAGGATCTGAGGTGCCTTCCCATACTCACTTCCCCCGAGTCATTTTTCTTGTCCGTGTTGGTTTGTTCGTCGAGCTGTCCCCTGATCTTGCGGAGCTCTGTTGAGGCACAGCTCTGAAACTGAAGTGACCTTCGTCGCTACCGGCCAGCAGGTCTCGTGTTCTTCAGCGTGCGGTATTGGGCTTCAGCACAGCACAGGGAGGAAACGTACCTGGAATCGTTTCCAGATTTTCCTTCCCTTTGCCGCATCAAGGCAAAATGACAGAGCCGGACAAAGCCCCATCCCAGCACGAGGCACTCTTCCAAGAAAGTGTCGGTCAGGCATTGTCTAAAGTTGACAACCCACCAGACACAAACATCAAGGACGGAGCTTTCCATCCTGGCCTCTGGTCATCACATTTTAACCTGAGAGCTGCTTTTGCAGCCTGCAGTCCAGAAATTCTGTGGTTTCTTCCGAGGTGGGACTCCGCTTGCTGGCAGCCTTGATGTTGAAATGAGAGATCCCCCGTTGCACCGTGCTGCGCACCAGGGTCTCTCTCTGTCTTTCTCCCTGACTCTTGTTGGACATGGCCGGACTCAACAATCTGTTCATGTTGGTGCAGGTGATGGATGCCTTTGCGGCTTCTTCGTGAGGTGGCATGTGTTGTGATGTAGAGGCGGGACGACCGTAGATCGAGACTTAATTTCAACTACTACCAGGACTGCCACTGCAGTCCAATGATCCGGGGCGCAGCTCCCCCTGTATATGTGTGACCAGAAAAGTTTTCTGAGACTGCTCGACTTGACTCGACTTGCTTTAAGATCTTTGTGGTTTCCAGCTGGTCCTTCGGAGGTCGGATACGTGGCAATGTGGCTTCCGACAGTTGCTTGCTTGATTGACTCACCTGCAGTCTCGATGGGCGCGTGCGCCCTTCGCATGTGAGTTCGCTCCGCAGCATTGGGCTTCTACAAAACAGGTTCAGAATCACAAAGGGTTATTGCATGAGCGTAGCGGAATCGAGGGATTCCACGATTGTACCGTCTGCGAGTGCAAAGCTCACTCGGTGCAAGGATGCCGTGCGGCAATGGGCTAGCGCCGTGCCTGCTGTCCGAGGGTCATCGGCATGGCGTCTGCCGAACTCCTCACAGCAGCTTCCTGCTAAACAAGTTAATCGAGATGCGACTCGACAACAAAGACACATGGCTGCAACACATGGTTGCAAGTTGCCGCTGCTGTGCAGAAGATAGAAACGCATGTTTTAGCCATGGCACTTGCGTCACCTTTTGACAGAACTGGCTGCAATTGCCTTGTAATCCACTCGTCAAGAAGTAGGGCTGAAGACTCCAGTATGCTGGGGGCCCAGAGCATTACAGAGAAGGATTTCGTTCCATTTACAGTAGATGCCCCAGTCGAGGCAGGAAATGTATCGAAAAGGGCTTCTCGATACGCACTGGACCTCAGGACTACTGGGGCGTCGCTCGAAAGAAGCGGAAGCCGTACTTAGAGCCCACGGACGCGGCAGGCGGGGATTGAAACTAAGTTTGGTGTAAGCATCATTATTCATTAGTCATTATGCATCATCGTTCTGGTACGTGTCACATGTCTTGAGGTGGAGTCTTGTGCAGAGACTCAGGGATTAGATGTATGTGGCAATGCCAGTGACGCTGTTCCCAAATCTGGAAACCAAGCTTGGAAACTCTGGAGGGCCGAAACCGCTTTCGCGAAGATCTCGAAGCCCCAAGCAAGCGACCCAAACCTAAACCTTACAACACCAACATACACCCTAAATCCGGCACCCAAATTATAATCCTTGTGTAAGTAGGCTATAATGAACTACCAAAATCCCGAAATCTCGAAGCCTTTGGCTTGGGCAGGCTGGTCAAGCAGGGCATTCTGGGCTTCCATGCGCACGCAAAAAGCCCTGGAGGAGGCAGCAAGACATATACCTTTGTTTTTGTACATATAAGCAATTATAAGCATATGGCCATCATGATGTCGTTGCCATTAGTGATGCTAATGACTGTTTCCTCTACTTCTGATGTTGATGCCGCTGCTACCGCTGCCGCTGTTGCTGACACTGTTGCTTCCGCTGCTGCTGTTGCTGCTACTGCTGCTGCTGCTGCTGCTGCTGCCGCTGCGGCTGTTCATTGAAAGACCAACACTGGTTGTCGTTGTTGCTGTGGCCGTGGCTGTGGCCGTGGCCGTGGCCGTGGCCGTGGCCGTGGCCGTGGCCGTTGTTGTTGTTGTTGTTGTTGGTGGTGGTGGTGGTGGTGGTGGTGCTGGTGGTGGTGGTGTGGTGGTGTTGTTGTGGTCGTTGTTTTTGTCTTTGCCGAGATTTCATTGTTGCTACTATTGTTTGTTGAAATTGTCCTTGTTATTCTTCCTGTTGCTGTTGTTGTTGCTGCTGCTGCTGCTGTTCTTGTTCTTGTCCCTGTTCTGCTGAATGTTGTTCTTGTTCTTGTTCCTCTCAATGTCATTGTTGTCCTTTGTTGTTCTTGTCATTTTACTTTGTCTTGTACTTGTTGAATCTTGATGTTGAGGCTGATCCTGTGCGTGTGATGGCACAGCAGGTTGGTGATGGGCGTGATAACGACGAGTGTCTACTCTTCCTCTGTTATGTCGCGGTTGTTGCTTCTGTCGTCGTCACTGCCACCGCCGTGGTCGTGGCGGCCACCGTCGATGTCTTTGTCGCTGCCGGCGTTGTCGTTGTCCTTAGTCTCGCGGTGCTTTTTGGTTCGTGGTGGTGGTGTTGTTGCTCTCTCCGGGCATTGTTGCAGGGGTGATGGTTGTGGCAGTGCTGCTGCTTCAGCTGCTGCTCGTGCCAATTTTTTGCATGTAATCTACTCACATGCCACTTGGCAACTTCGCACTTTGCGGAGGCAGAGAAGCAGCAGCGAGAAGCAGAGAAGCATGCAGAGATCGCGCGTTCGTCTATGCAGCAGGCCTGCCAGCTAGGACGGGCGTGCGAGCTTTTGATCTCAGCCAGATATGCAGGTCCTACGGTCAGCACTCCCCTGCACTCATGAGAGAGCGCCTGCAGGCACAGGCGGCGATGCTCCAGTCCAGGGTCAACTCCAGAGCTTATGCGGTGAAGTCGCCTTCTGTGATGCTTGGCTTCGCTTAGCTCAAGTCCGTGGAAGTTTGGAGAACCGGAGCGCCGGCTTCCTAGGCTGCTTCAGCCGCTTTATTCCCAAATAGAGAGAGATCTGCTGGTAGCATCTGACACCACAGTATTACAGATGCTTCGTTTCATGTGTGACCTGGAGCTGCCAAAGTGGTTGTTATGATGCACGAACACCGCTTGCTGATCAGCGCGTGCTTGCAATCTGCATTGGCGAACTAAGCCACAGCCACAATCAGTTTGCCAACTTTCCGTGTACCGTTACGCCATGAAACTTGGAACCAAGCTGGCGAGGCGCGACAAGCCTGGCAACCAAATGTGACATACTGGCCATGGCCCAGGCAGCCATACCTCCATTTCTGCGATGAGCTTGGGACGTGGATTCGAAGCAACCGCAAGGTGGCATATCATGAAATCTCATACTGCATGACTGTCACGGTCATAGAGTTGTTATGATGTGGTGTCGGCTTTCTTCGTGGATGTGATTGACAGGACTCTAATGGAAGCTGCCGTCAGCGAAGAACAGCGAGAATTCTAGTGGCATAACAATAGCTTCAATAGTCGTAACAGCAATTATTGCGGCAAGAGCATCAATCGAATAGTAAGGACGAATAGTAAGAATGCATGTCTTCAACTGCAAGGGGAGCACACAAGAGTTCACGAAAAGCACGTAAGATTGGCAAGTGTCGACGACTCACGGCAGGCGGGTGAGTCGACGCCGATGCTGCAATTGAGGCGTTTCTGCTCAGGCCAGATAGAGAGGGAGAGAGAGAGAGAGAGAAGCGAAACGTCGATGGAGAGAGTGATGATGGTGTTTGTCCGTCCCTCTCTCTCTCTCTGCTCTCTCTCTCTCTCTGCCTCTCTCTCTCTCGCTCTGTCTCTCTCTCTCTCGCTCTGTGGGCTCGTGTTTTTGTCTGCGTCAAACCCTGCTATACATGGAACCCTTTGAGAGTTTCGAAAAGCTTCATGCCGTCACGGCCCATTCTCACCACCATGTCCCACTTGGCCACTGTGCGGCGGGGGTATCTGGGAAGTGGCAGCTTCAGCTGAATCAGCTGCCCGCCTGCCCAGCCCAACAATGGGACCTTAACCAGTCCGAAGCACCAATCGCAGCCGACCAGCCTTTGGCGGTTTCTGCAATGCAGCAATTTACTGCAATTTTGTCGAGCAGCTTTGAGGCGAGAATGTATCCGACAGGCGTTCTGAAATGACACCGCTCTTCTGTCTTTTTGGGGGCCTATATATGCCGGAATTGTGCTTCTGCTGCAAGTGTGATTACAAATATTTTCTTTCTGATTTGGGAAGGTGCTTCCATTTCTCCATCGTGCTTGTTCGAATCGTAGCGACGAAACCATTGCTCTAGTCTCGCAATTATACTTCTTCCGATACTAAGCGTTGTCGGGGCTTTGACTGGCAATCTTCTGTTTATTGCTTCGATTGGTGCTCTCGTCTGGGCCTGCTGTTGTGCCATGTGATCGTGCCGACAGCTTGACGTAGTACCTTTGCCACTCTTTCTCCTTCGATCGCTTGGGCAACATGTGGGTAGTTCTCTAAATTAGGGTACCTTTTTAGTGTCCTTTTATAAGGGTGCCGTACTATATTTGGGACCCAAAAGGGACCCTAATTTAGAGAACTACCCATGTTGTCATGGCAAAGTTTGGGGCGAAATCTAGATCGCCACTGCTTGTCCACCTGATGGATTGGTGGCCTCCTCGGCAGTTGCAGTGGAGTAGGAGAGGGGGAGGTGGAATCTGAAGGGATAAATACGGTGTCTTCACTTGATGCCGCTCCGCGGATTTGGAGAGGTCTGGAGAATGCACTGGACAACATTTCGCGCAGACCCGAGACGCTAGCAACTCGAGCGGGCTTTCGCCTCTTCGACGTGCCGCCAATGCAGTATCCGGAGGACTGAAGTGGAAGGCAACTCCGAATTCTTGACAGAGTTTTTCCTTGCCCTTCTCTGAAGTGCAGCAGTGCACGATTCGCAGTGGAGCTCCCTGTTGAGGACCCGCAGTGGAGACCGGATGTGCCAACTTTCCATCTGCCTTCCGGCCGCTTTGTTGCGACGAGATCTTGCAAGCTCTGCTGCCAATGGTTGGAAAGATGGCGCTGCTCCAGCTATAATGTTGCTCTAGAACCTAGACAAATGCAGAGCATCCGAATGCATGAGGGAAGCTTGATCCCTTCAGCCCACATCTGTCGGATTCGGATGCAGGCATGGATGGCCCGGATGGCGGGTTCGACCCCGAGCTGCTGCTCCCGATTCAGCTCTCCATGCCCGAAGCCTTTCTTTGGCTCACGTGCCTCGGGCTGGTTATGACGGCTCTACGGATTAGGCTTAGAGTCTAGAGGTTTTAGAGTGGTTTGGAGCCGCCAGCAGGTTGCAGCAATATGATATAGTTGGCGTCCGAAGAGGCAGCACGTCCTTGCGTGTTTTTTGCCAGCATGGAGACAAGTAGAGGAACACATGCCCATCCATACTGAGCTTTCAGAAGCACCAAGGCCTTCGGCTCCTTGCCACCGCCGGCATCACGGGCACGCGACTTTCTTGTGATTGAAAAAGCATCGTGCTTGCATGCGCTACTTTGTCCCGGCTTGAAATGAGCGAAACCGTTACAGGCTGAGCAGCATGCCCCTAGCCCACTGGACTTGCTACGTTTGTCTCAGAGGATGTAACGCACAGCCATACCTCTGCGTCCCTGCGTGCCATCGGATCAAGTAGGCTTGACTACTGGAGGAGGCTCTTCGCAAACCCAAAGTCTCGCGAGATCCACGAGCGGGCACTTGCCGACAAAGCCGCTGACGACCCAAATCCTGCGACTGTTGCCGTGCAGCACTGCGCACCCGCTATCGCTTGAGACAAAGTTGCTCCGAAGTGTCGGAGCACTGATGAGCTGAGCTGTGCTCTGCCATGGCCCTGGCGGGGCCGGGCGACGGATCGGCAACGCTTCGAATGGCGACACCACAGTCTGTGCTTCGTTTGGGAATGTGAAAGTTTCGAGCTCCCGTGGACTGCTGGCATGGTGCTTGACGAAAGGCACTGACCGCCGAGCCCTGCGCGGGGAGTGCCTTCTTGCGACCACTAGCAGTCCCTAGCACCCTTATACCCCAAAGGGTCTAAGTACCCATATAGTAGATATTTTGGGCCCCAAAGTATCTACCATATAAGTACTTAGACCCTTTGGGTACCAGATGTTACCCGTATCCTTCAAGTCGTTTCTGCTCCCTGGCGGCTACTTTTCCCTAGCCTCGGGCCTCGGCCTATGGCCCGTGCCGTCCAGGCCAGGCCACATCTTGAAATTTCCTGTAGATGCGCAGCGCTGGCGCTTATTGGTGCCTGACCGATTGCATACTAGACCCTATAAACCCTAAACCCTAAACCCTAAACCCTAAACCCTAAACCCTAAACCCTAAACCTTGCATAGGATTGGTTTGAAGCCTTCGGCCTGGACTCGTCTTGAAGACAGTGGGCGAGTCGGCTGTGTAGGTAACTTGTGCCCTAGCTGGGCCTAGAAAACGTCTGTGCGGCAAGCTTGCCATGGGCCAAAGGATAGCATCCCTGTAGTTCTGTGGAACTGAGGAGGAGAATTGGCTCGAAGATGCCGGCACGGGTCGCAGCTCGTGCTTGATGCCACAAGCGTGTCCCCCTCATGCGGCGAGGCGAGGCCCACCCCCGTGCAGACATCCAGCCAGGCTGCGCGGTCAGCGCTGCAGTGCGGCGTAAGCGTCACAACACTTCTCCTAAACTCAGCCATGCGCCGAGGTGCCGCCTGGTCGTTGACTGCGCCTCCTGGCGCGGCACCGTGCCGCCGCCGTCTCCCAGCAGCTCCGACCCGCCGCGACCACTGCCTGGGTCGCGCGGTGGTCTGCCCTCCTCGCAGTCTCCGCACAGCGCGCGTTCGCCGCCGACCTGCTGGAGTTGCATGCCACCGCCGACGTCGGCAGTATCCCTATAGCCGGCTGACTGTGCTGGAGTCCGCCAGTACAAGTAGCGCGTAGGTTGCACTGGGACCTTCTGCACCCCCGCGGTCGTAAAAAGACCCACACGTCACTGGTCCACACATACTTGATTATTTGATCATGTTTGGAGATGGTCGTGCAAATTTTGATCCTGACTCAAACCGGAGTCTGCTGTTAGAGCGCAGCGAATGTTGTCGATTGTCTGTTGGAAATACTTTTCCCTACAGCCGGCACGCCGCGCTGCTCAGGCCGCTTGGGTGCACCGCTGGAGGGTTGCCGCGCAGCGAGCCTTCACCACTTCGCTCTTTGAGCTTCCTCCCGCCGCTGAGCTCACTTTGCACGAGCTGCTGGCTGACGCACGCTGGTTGCAGGCACCAGCAGCCGCCTCCCAGCCCGCACGACGTAGGCTGCTTGCTGCACAGGGACCCCGACGTTCGCAGTCGTAAAAAAGTGTGCGTAAAAAAATGCAACCAGGCCACGGTATACAATATTGGTGCACAGCCGTCAAGTGAGATAAATCCGGCGAATGTTGGCCAGTTTGATTTTTTGTTGGTGATTGTTGACGCAACATGGCTCGCAGCTGTACTCATGCATGGACGTACCACTGGCATCCCATCATTTCCTTGTGATTGCGGAGCTCAAAGAAAACACTCGGACACTGGCCAATGCCATCAACCTCTCAGGTTTATGGAGTGGCACACCATTGAGTAATGGGTTCGCAACATTGGTCGAGGATTCAGCTGTACCAACAACGAGCAACAAAGCCAGTTTTGCGCAAAGATCCTTGTGCACTTTTCACGAATATAGCATGTGTGTTGCGGCCCGCGATTGCTTGAGCTTACGAGGTCGCAGAGCTCAGCGGTCGTGGGTCAGTGACGACACATAGGCGTTGATTGATCGGCGAATCATTGCTAGGAGATCGTTCACGTTGGAGAAACAGTGAAACAGTTGACGTGTGAAATCAAAACTTCTGTCCGTCGTGATCGTATGGCTATTGCACCCAGGTGACTGGAACAAAAATCCGCTTGACAGCATCCTCACCACGCCGCCCCTGCAGGCCAGAGTCGCTTGCTGTTGCGGGCCTAGCGAGGGACCGCTGCAGGCTACGTGCTCAACCGGAGCGGCTAGGTCTAGTCCGGAAAAAGGTGCGGCAAAAAGAAAAACGCGCCTCCTCCTCCCCAGGCCGTCGCTAAGCGTAACTGCTGACGCGGACGGTTCTCGGCAGACGCAAAAAGGCGTGGAAACCTGCCTCCTCACTTCCCCCGCTGCTTGAGCTCCCTCGCCGGTGCTGTCCACCTTCTCCGCGACACTGGTTTCCAACCTCCTGCTTTCGGCGACTTGGCCCCGCAACCCCCCGTGGTCCCAGCAGACCCTGACGAGCCTGTCGACACTAATTACTCGGGGTTGGCAGCGGCCCGCCTCCCGTGCTATCGACGATAGCACCGCTGGCCGCCTCCGCGCAATACTCGACCCTCCTTCCCTTGCCCTGCTCAAGTCTCAGTGCGGACCGTGCGCTTCAAGCTCACTTTGGACTCGCCTGTTTTCCGAGCTTTGTTGCTCCGCCGGCTTCGCTTTCCCTTGCCACTCGACGCTGCAGCCTGTCGCTGCCGCCGTCCCGTCGACCCTCTGGGTGACCACCGCGCTGCCTGCCCCCGTTCTGGCATCTTGCGCTCCCGTGGCCTCCCGCTCGAGCGTGCTGAGCGCCTCGATGACCGCCGCATCGAGGTCATCGCCAACGGACTCCCGCTCTGGGGCGGAGCGCAACTCGCCGTTGACACCACCCTCGTGTCCCCTCTGGCAGTACCGCGGCACTGCTCTTCGCCTGGCACGCAGAGCTAAGGAACGCACCTACCCGCAGCTGCCGCGCTCGCAGAGGTGCCGGCTTGTTGTCCTTGCACTTGAGGTTGGTGGCCGCTGGAGTCCCGAGGCCTCCCTGTTCGTTCGCCTCCTCGCTCGGTGCCGGGCTCGTGCTGTGCCTCGACTGTTGCAGCCTGCAAGCATTGCTGCCTTCACTTCCCGTTGGTCCGCCTTGCTCGCCTTCTCTGCCGCAAGAGTGTTCGGTGCCAGTCTCCTTGGCCTTTCCCTGCCCGGCACCGCCAATGTTGATTCCATCCCCTGCAAAGAGAGGTCCTTTATTCGACTCGCTTCGACGAAGCCCCGCCTGTTGCCAGCCGTCTTCCCCCGCGCCCGTGAGCTGCGGCCTTGGACTCGGGCGTGGAGGACGCTGACCTCGTGAAAAACAGCGTGTAGCTGCAATTCCTCCCCCTTGCTCTGGGATCGCAATACTCCTAGCGCAGCCAAAAAAAAACCTCATTCGCGGTTGGCAGCGCCTTCCGTAGGGCCTTCCTTCGGGAAACCTACGCTGCCTCGGCCGTGCCGGACTCGCAGGCTGGGCCTCATGCAGCGCGCGTTCTCACCACCCCTTCTCACCACCCGTCCCACCCTGCCGGAGTTCTCATTGAAGTCGCCGCTCTTCCGAGCCATCCTCCTTCGCAGACTTCGTTTGCCTCTGCCACTAACCTCTGCCAGATGCCGTTGCCGCGCACACCTCGATCCTTGCGGCGACCACCCTGCCGCCTGCCCGCGCTCCGGCATTTTGCGGCCAGGGGAGGCCCTCGCTGCTGCTCGTGTGTGCAAAGAAGCTGGGGCAGGTCGCTCTCAACGTACTTGTCAGGGTCTTGAATGTCGAGCCTGCACGCCAGAACGCCCGACGCATTGAGGTCATCGCCAATGGCCTGCCGCTGTGGGGTGGTGCCCAGCTTGCAGTCGACACCGCTTGTCTCCCCCCTTTACTGCTGCCAGCCTCCCACGCAAGGCTGGGGGCAGTACTGTCGGAGCGGCCTTGCTCGCTGCAAGACGAGCCAAAGAGCGCACATACCCCCCAGCTGTGCAGGTCCAACCGCTGCCGGCTCAGAGCAAAAGCGTCGAACAGTAGTAACTGTCATCATCATCGAAAATAGGAATGGGGATAACGGAAATGTTTGAAAAATCCGCGAATGTTGCATGCGTATGGGAGAATCTCGTCCACAAAATAATGCATGGGCTAGCCGCTCCGGGCGCATCGGCTCGTTGATCTGAGTCCTTCAACGAAGCTACCTTATCGCGCCGCGCAAACGGCCGCGCTTACGACGGGAGCCTTTGCGTAGATTGCGGATATTTTCGGATATTTTTTTTGTTCTTTCTTGCCCCAACGCACCTTTTTGCTATCGTCCGAAGCAGCGCGGTCCCGGTGCAAAAGCAACAGACTACGGCAGAGAGCCTGTAGCGCGGAGCGCTTTCACACCACACGGCTAGCAAGCGGCGGCTGGGAAGGCGAGTCGGCGAGGATGCCGCTCAGAGG